AAGACGGCCACTGTCGGGTTTCAAATAGTCTGCTGTTTCTCTTATCCAGAATGCACACGATTATTTGAGAAGTGTTGTGGAGAGATCAAAGGACAATAACTAACACTTTTCTTAAAAGGACTAGTTATGGGACTAGTTAAATGTTATTCTACATATGTGAGTGCTGCTGGATCCTCGTATCTCTGAGTAATGCGTCTAATCGGCGTGTGATGGACACGACAGACCATAATTACACAGGTTTCCTTTATGACAGTTAGTTGTTCAGAAAAATCACCGGCTAGTTCATCATGAAAATTTGAAGCTTCACATATTCCTGGTGTTTAGAGCTGTAAATGATTGTGATTTGCTTGTTTTTGTCTCTGGTGTCACAGATTGGAGTCATGTCACGGTTCTGCGGTTTCAGTCGTGGAGGTGACCACATCCAGAAGCTCTCAGTCCGGTCGGGATCTGGGGTTCTGGTGTCCCCTTCAGCTGAAGACTCGACCCGGTCAGCGCGGATCTTTCCTCGGGGCTCAAGACTGCGCTCCGCCGTGCCACAACATGTACCTTAAACCGCACGAAGTTCAGTTCGCCAAGACCTTCATCGGCGTGTGTTCCATTGTGTGCTTATGTGCGACTCTGTTCACATTTTTAACCTTCCTCATTGATGTGAAGCGCTTTCGCTACCCTGAGCGGCCGATCATCTTCTACTCCGTCTGCTACAGTTTTGTGTCTCTGGTCTATTTTGTTGGTTTTCTGCTGGGTAACGAGGCGGCCTGTAACGAGCCGAGTCTGCCGGGCCGCGTGTCCACGGTTGTGCTGGGAGCCCAGAGTCGCGTCTGCTCGCTGCTCTTCATGCTGCTGTATTTCTTCTCCACTGCGGGAATGGTGTGGTGGGTGGTTCTGACCATCACCTGGTTTCTGGCCGCAGGGCCGAAGTGGAGCTGTGAAGCGATAGAGAAGGCGGCGGTGTGGTTCCACACAGTGTCCTGGGGTCTCCCCGGAGCGCTCACCGTCGTGCTGCTGGCGCTGGAGAAGGTGGAGGGAGATGGCATCAGCGGCGTGTGTTTCGTGGGGCTCTACGATCTCACGGTGCTGCGCTGGTTTGTGGTGGCTCCGCTGGCGATCGCGGTGCTGGCTGGCCTCTCGCTGCTGCTCGCTGGCATCATGTCTCTGAACCGCGTGCGTCAGGTGATCCAGCATGACGAACAGAACCAGGAGAAGCTGAAGAAGTTCATGATCCGCATCGGAGTGTTCAGCGGCCTGTACCTGCTGCCTCTGCTGGTGCTGCTCGGCTGCTATCTGTACGAACAAGCCCACCGCAGCCGCTGGGAGAACAGCTGGATCCGCCGCCACTGCCAGGAATACAGCATTCCCTGCTCCCGCCGCGTGAGACATTCAGTCCTGTGCTGTGGATGCTGACATTACCAGAGCATTTCGTCTCCCACTGACTGACTTGTGTTTTGTTTTTTGTAGAGTATTGATGTGGAGCGGCCTGAGCTCTCGCTGTTTCTCATTAAATATCTGATGACGCTGATCGTGGGAATATCAGCCGTGTTCTGGGTCAGCAGTAAGAAAACCTGCTCAGAGTGGGCTTCATTCTTCAAGAGAAATCGCAAGAAAGAGTGAGGCCACTTTCTCTAATCCTAACCCAATAGTTTATGACATAGAAAGAG